AGTTTATTTTTTCGAAATGGTTAATTGTAAATAATGTGAAATAAAAACAAAAAAACAGTAGGTCGAGAAGACAAGAATAAATTAGATTGTGACACATGACAAAACACCTTTCATGCTAAATGCATGAAAATAGATTTTACAGACTCAGAAGGCCTAAAAGAAACTAGTAAAAAATGGAAATGCACCGATTGTTAATCAGTATCGCATACAGTGCCAGCCTCTGAGCCTAATACTGTGATAGACCTACTGAGGTCGCTGGCCGATGAAGTTAAAGAAATGAAGTGCAAACTTCAGGGTATAGATAAACTGAAGGAGATAAAAGAAACCCTCCCGAAGGAATGGGAACTATCTTACGAGAATATGGACCAGTTATTAAAAATTGAAACCCTCCTAGAAGAGCAAAAAAACCATTTTGAAAAATTAACCATGGAAAACAACATGTTGAAAACAAAAATAGTCGAGCTGGAAAGTCATCTGAATTCCACAGAACAGTTTCAACTGAAAAACACAATAGAAATTAGAGGAATTCCAGAGAAGTCGGGTGAAACTGTAAGTGGCACCATCCTTAGCGTCAGAGTGGGTCTAGGCATCAAGTTGACTCCGGACAATCTTGATCAAGCCCAAGCAAGAAGGGACTCCAGGCCCAATTATAGTAAGATTCGTCAGAAAAGTGGTAAGAGTTGAGCTGGTGTGGCAGCGAAGAGCAAAGAGAGATTTCTCTATACGCCATCTAGGCTGGGAAGAGAACAACTCGCACTGCGTTTATGTGAATGAAGCCATGACACCCGCCTAAACACTATTGGTTAGCCAAGCAGAAGAGGGTGACTATAAAAATAAAATATGTCTAGTTTAGTGGGGGTAGAATTCGCTGCAGACAGTCAGATGGATACCCAGTAGTTATTATAGGAAAACCCACTGATCTGGATGTTTCCAGTTGAACGTTGTATACAAGTTACCTTCAGTTTGTACTTAATTTATTTATTTTTTCGCTAGAAATATTCTTATTATAATTATTTTTATTTCCAGCTTTTTTATTTTTTTATAAACGTAGATTTTTTAATTTTTGTATAAATTTTTCTCATCAGAAATATTTTTATTTTTATTTTAAGCTTTTTTTTTATTTTTGTATAAATTATTTAGAACTTTATTTGATTCATTGCCAATCTTTATCAATTTATCTAAACCAAGGAGATATTTATATTTTCTTATATTATAAATTAATTTTAACTGAATATTTATTTCGAAATACTGGAAATTTTTTTTTTCATCTCAAACTTTATTTTATGTTTGCATTGTTTTTGATATTTCTAAACTTAATTTTATGCTTGAAAAATGTTATATCCTATCCTTCATCCTCGATAATTTCTTCCAAAATTCTATTTTCCAGCTCTCCAGTCATGATTAATATCCTGAATTCCTGCCACATCAATGCACAATCCCTTACTGCACACTACGATGAATTTCAGAATCATTTCCTTGATAACTTTTATCACATAATAGCAGTATCTGAAACTTGGTTAAAACCTTTTATCCCTTCCTCCCTGATTTCCCTACCCAATTATTCTTTCCTACACCAGAACAGATCTGATCGCACGGGAGGTGTTGTCAGGTTGTATGTCCATCAAAGTCTTAAGACCAAAATTCTCCTGTAGTCATCTTCTCATGAATTTCCTCACATGGAATACATGTTCGTTGAAATTTACTCTATAACCTTTCCTCTGTTATTTGCCGTAGTTTACCGCCCTCCTAGAGTTCCATTCGATAACTTCTTCCATTCGACAATCAACGCAATCTGCTCTCCTTAAAATAACCTATGACCTCCGAAACTCCATTGAACACCATAACCTTACTATCCTCATCCTTTTAGATTTTTCCAAAGCATTTGATACAGTTGACCACAACATCCTCCTTACTAAATTGCACAATCTTCCTCTATCCAACAGTGCCCTGCGTTGGTTCAAATCGTTCCTTTCAAATCCAGCCCCAGTATGTAGTAGTCCCAGGTCAACCTCTATCGAAGACCCTTCCCCTCTCCTGTGGTGTCCCTCAAGGTACCTCTCTATGTCCTACTCTGTTTGCTATTTACATTAATGACCTTTGCCTCCTGACCCATCACTTCCAATACTATATCTATGCAGACCTCTGACCTATTATCAGCCATAGAAAAACTTCAAGAAGACTTGGATAGGATTTGTGACTTGGGCGAGAGCTAACAAGTTGAAGTTGAATGCAGAAACGACAAAGGCAATCTTAATAGGCTCCAATCACCTCCTTGGAACTGTTCCTAATATTCCAACTCTATTCCTACATGATGATCCCATCAAATTTTATCTCTCTATCAAAAACCTTAGAATAACCTTTGATCAAACGCTTTCCAGGAAAAACCATGTATCCAATATCTCCTGCCGTACCATTTCCACCTTAAAACATCTAAATTACTACCGTCACCTATTTCCCCTTGAAAACAGTAAGCTCCTAGTCACTTCCTTAATTTTTCCCCTTTGACTATTGCTGTACGGTATACGGGGGGCATCTCTGGGGATCTCGAAGTGAAACTAAAACGTTTGATGAATTGCTTTGTACGATTCATCTTCGGGATCCCAAGAAACACCTGTGTTTCCCATTTTTATACAGAGTTGAAGTGGCTTTATCCTTCGTACCGTCGTAAGTATTTCCTGACATCCTTCATCTTTCAATTCATCCAATCCCAATGCCCTTCATACATCTCCGAGCTCCTTGAATTCAAATCCTCTGTTCGTTCCCGCAATACTCATTCCCGGTCTTCTGTTTTATACATAAGGGCCCACCAAACCGCTGCTTTTGACAGATCGTTCATTATCTGATCCTCATCCCTATGGATATCTATCCTTTCCCACTCCGTCAATCCAATACCTTTCCTACCTTTAAATCCCGCCTGTTCAATCATTTCTTATCCATCCAGTCCCCATAAAATTGTAAATAGATACTACTGTAAATATGTATATAAATTATTAGATCGTTCTTCATTATTTTTACTTCATTTTTATTTTCAATTTTTTATTATTAACTGATTTTAGTTAGAAAGTAACTTATATTTTTTTTATTATTCTTTTATTATGACTATTTAATTACTCTGTATTTTTGTTTATGTACCTCTGAGGCTCCTTAAGCCACATTTTTCTTTCTGTATTATTCTAAAGTGACACGTCCCAGAATAAATAAAGTATTATTATTATTATTAATATGTGCTATGGTGTGAATGTACTCTTTCCTCACTATAACTAATGTCCATATTGTGACAAAATTTCATATTGCTCAATTAAAAAATAAGACAAAAAAGAACTTTAAATGTGGGAGATAATAATATGAATTAAAATAGACCATAACAAATTAATGCAAGGATGAGGGATTAAAGAAAATAGTTAAGTTGGTATGAAAAATGAACACTCCTGCATTTATCTTTTAAATATTTTAATAATAATAATAATAATAAAAAGGCTTAGTGAACCCGAAGGTTCGATGCCGACACCACCAATCGCTTATTGCACACCTCCCTCCATCGTTCGCCGTGCTACGGTCTAGACCCAGTCCAAACCCCGTCCCTTCAGATCGGTTTTAATGCAATCTTCCCACCTCGCTTCGGTCTACCCCTCGGACGCTTACCATTCGGCACAGCTAATATTAACTTTTTAGGAATTCTCTCGTTACTAAGTCCAACAACTTTACAAGCCCATTTGATTCGCCGCGATGAAATTATCTCAATTATATTACTCGGATACAGTTCACGCAATTCGGCGTTGTGTAACCGTATCCCGGTTTAACCGTATCCACGGTTAACTCATCCTTCTTCGGTCCGAATATTCTACGCAATACTTTATTTTCAAAAACCTTAAGACGCTGCTCATCCCTTAATGTAAGCGGCCAAGTTTCGCACCCATAAAGAACTGTAGGCATGATAATTGTTTTATAGATTCTAATTTTTAAGTTTCGGGACAAGAGGCACGAACTAAGTAGTTTTGTCACAGAAAAATAACAAGCATTTCCCGCCTTCAGTCTAACCTTAATTTCTTCTTCAATTTCGTTTTTTCTTGTTATCGTAGAACCTAGATACCTAAACTTATCTACCTGTTCAAACATATTACCATCTATATCGATATCACCAGTAGTATCGCCATTTTTGCAGCTAACCATATATTTTGTTTTATCCACGTTTATTTCGAGTCCTAGTTCTTTACCGGCTTTCATTAACGCTGTCGTATTTAGTTTTATAGTTTCAATGTCTTCGCTTAACAGTACCAGATCATCCGCATACCCCAGCACGGATGTTGTCCCACCCAGATCCAACCCTTTCTCGGTACGCATTATCTCCCTAATGGCATGTTCTAATGCCAAATTGAACAGGACAGGCAAAAGAGAAAAATATTTTAATAATATGATGAAATTATGAATGGACAAATGACAACACGGGTGAAATATGTAGTCATAAAATAGTCAAGATAATTAATTCATTCTACACTATACATTTTAGCATTGGTTTCAGAAATATTTTTAAAAAATTATTGTAAATTAAATGTGGTAGTTATTGTGTAGTGTGATATTGCAGAGAATGTGTGTCCTGATGATCCCAAAATGTTAACTGTAAAATATATAATTGTTAATAAACATTAACATTTAAGGAAGTCCTATGTGTTACCAATTATCTAGTAATAATAATAAGAAAAATCTGTAATTGAGCAACATGAGTTGTTATCTTATATTCCCACATCAACTTAACTCACATAAATAAGCCCCACTCCTAATTAATTAGATGTTAAGCATAAATAGGCTGGGAAACTTTTATTCCTTTTATTTATATCTTTACTTGATTTACACTGTCAAAATAATGAAACACACAAAAATTAGCAATAGGCTTAATTACAATTTCTGTCAATGATAATCATATAATGAAATATTAATATGCATTGAAAAAAAAAAGTAAGTTTAAACACCAATAATATTTATTGCAATAGAGAAAGAAATACCTAGACATAAGGGTGGTGGGTATCTCCATGTGCCATCTATTTGACAGACAGATGATGTATTGCCGACTAATGTCATTCCAGGAGAACACCTGAAGATGACTGAAGCCCCGAGACCCGTTCCTTTCTCTAGGTTCTCGATCCAGCCATTGTAGATGTTGCCTGGGTGCCCGCAGTCAACAACTAGAAGAGGGTGCAAATGGTGCCTTGTGCAAAGTGTGATAGTGCATGTCTACATAGCAACGAGAGTGGATGGTAATATCAATGTTACATTAAAACAAAATGTATGTATTCAAGATTTTTGGAACGATTATTATCTATCTTTTAATATGGTTGCCTCAATTTGCATTGTTTTGTTGTTGCATTTTTTTTAGAATAATGTATAAATATTGATAATGATGAAGTCTTGAAGAAAAAAAGCAACTTTTGATTATTTACCATCCACAGTATCGAATAATCTGTGATTAAGTGCAATGTGCTACGGTCTAGACCATGATCATTCGAAAGTAATACGAAATGTTCACATACCTTGGCACTTAGGGGTGCTTCCTGACCACTTTCTGTCTGCTCCACATCTTCTTGTTGAGTCCCCGACAAGGGTGTAACCGTGGCGGCATTCATAAGAGACAACTGCATTGTAACCACAGGAAGTATAAATTGCTGTGCCGAACTGTGGATTTTCAGGCATTGGACACTCGACAGCTGTAACGACAACAGTAGGCCGAGGGGCCAAAGACAGTACTCATGTTCCGTTTTAGTGCCAAAGTAGCCGGCGAAGGACCTTCAAATAGGTGCGTCACCGACTTGAAAAATTGGCTGAAACAACTTACTAATAAAGAAATCAGGGAATCTTGAGGTTCGTTCATATTAAAAGAACAAATTTACTTAGATTTGAGTCTCAGAGATATGTATTTGTCCATATATGACAACCCAGCATAAAAGTTAAATTATTTAGAATATAAATTACTACATACTTAAATGAATCGTCTGTGATACTTACGGACACAGGCTGGCAAGTCCCTGGGTCCCCAAATCCCATCTGCTTGGCAAATTCTTTCCAGTCTCCCAACCAGTTCATATCCCTCACCGCAATGGTAGGTTACTTTGCAGGAGTAGGTGTAACAATCACCGGAATGCCACCCATTGGAAGGATCCATAGGAGCCCCACAAGACCTTGCTGGTACAAAAAATTAATACCACATCATAAGAATTCTCAGGAAAGCCAACTATCTGAAAGAGCCTTATCATTGTAGGAGATGTAGATAATAACAATGAATAGAACTTTTTTTTCAACTGTAACCTGTCATGAAATATATGAAAATTAGAAGATACTCACGCTCACAGCTGATGTCTGGGCCAAACCAGGACGCTGTGTTCTCTATGGCTAGACATTTAGCCTTTGGAAACCCATTTGTCACATAACCAAGATTACATTGGTACTGAAGAGTTGTATCTAATGGGAACGTAGCCTGCTCAGGTAGACCATTATGCCTTGCATGCTCCAATTCAGGTGGGGTTTTGCAATAGACTAGAACATCATCATAAATATACATTTAAAACCTTCTCTGATACAACTTCAAACAATAATACAATTTTATTTCAAATCTTAACAAAATATCCCAGCTATCTTTACTAATCACATTCTAGACAACTTAAAAGTCAATAGTACATTGTCTATTGTAATAATTTCCAACCAACTGTTTTTCATCTTTCTAACGATTTACAATACAAGGGCTAACAAATATAGTTTTAGAAAATATCACTATTCATTTTCGAATAGTTGATAACATATCAGAAAGACGATTCTTCACATAAAAAGTACTAAAGATTGACAAATATAAGGTTTTACTTGTCAATCTTTAGTACTTCAGTTTAAATTGCAATAAGAGAAAAAATTTATATAGTCAGAATTGGATGTAATCTTACCATTGTGTTTGCACTGAGGTTGTGCACCCGACCAGTTGCCATCTCCTTGGCAAATTCTTTCCTTGAGACCTACTAGAGTGTAACCGGGATCACAGGTGTAAGATGCTCTGTCTCCGAATAGTCTACCTCCAATCGTCACTGATCCCAGAGAAGGTGAACCCAACTCTTCGCATTCTCTTTCTGTTAATTGAAATAATCATAGAGTAAATAATCAATTAATAGTGTCACCCAAATGCGAGACCAAGACAAATCTTGATGTTGCGTAAGAGTCTCGCAACAGTCTTGCAGTTACCTATTACTATAGTGTATTACTGTACTTTTTCAGATATTGGAAACCGAACTAAGCCCAAATGAAAAATTGGAAGAGTTAAATGCATGAGTATATTGGTTATACCAATTGTTTACATATAGTAATTAAAATTTTCAAGCATTAGTAACTATTTTGCCTTAATTTTTATTCATGAAAACGATTTTTTTTTTACCAGTCTTGTTCTTGGTCTTGCAACAGTCAAGCAGTGTTGGTCTTGGTCTTGCGAAGTGCAAGACCAATACCGATTTTGGGCAACACTATCAACTATCTATAATAAATTCTGTATATCATGAGCTTATAGATAATAATCAACAAGACATTGAATTTCTTTATTTCGACAAAAACATTTAGTATATGTACCGCCGAAGCGAGGACAAAGACATTTTTACATAAGCAAAAATATGCATCTTATGATAAATGTTACTATATGAATTAAACCATCCTATCACCTTCTTATAATTTTTTCCCCTCACAATTAAATTTTAACTAAATAGTTTATGAATTTCTTTTACTTTTATAGAAATGGTAATGGATTATGAGAAGTGATTGTGTTGGGATAAGTTATTCCTTAAGATTGAAAAAAAAATCAATTAATTAATACCTGCATACCTGGTTTAATGCAAGACATTCCACAGACACCATCGCATAGGCACTTTTTCTTCTTTGATTTGCAGTCCTCATCATTGGAACATTTTCTCAAGCACTTTTGCCCCTACAAAAATAAGCAATTCTAAATACTGTAGATATGAAATATTAATTATCATGAATTCATCAAAATTGTTTAGTAAAACCGTTTAAAAAAACATAGGGCCCATTAAACTGTAGCAATCAAGTCAAACCATATGTAAAATTATGGCAGACCCTAAACATATTCTTTGTTTGACCAAAAGCTTGGATTTGTAAAGCTTGGATGAATAGGAAGTGATAACTAAAACATAGTTTAATGTAATTAATTAAAAATTGATTCACTGTAAACTAGACAAGTTTGACTTCAAACGAAAGTGGAGTTTGTCATTGTTAAAACCATTTTTTTTTTTTTTTTGAGTAATCAGTGATAAAACTTTCTAACGTCAATGGTAAAAGGAACTTTCAGGAGGTCTAATACCACCTCTGTACAGAAATATGCTACTCCTGTATGGGTAGGTACTATGACTGCAACTGTACAAAGGCTGTATTAGACCACCTGAAAAACATACAGTTGTTGACACTAAAAACTTTCAAAATGTTGTCAGATTTCATAAAATTAGCAATAAAAAAGTTATTGTGCTCTGAAAGTATTCCAACCGTTTTTTTTCTGCTGCTGATCACGTAATTTTTGGAACATTTTTCACTTTTTGAAATTCGACAATACCTTCCAGTTAGCCATCTGACTCCAGGATTTCTGGCATTAGGGTTGTCATCTCTACTGATTTCAATTTTGAAATCTACTGCTGATCACTTAGTTAATTATGAAGTATATCTCGCCCTAATGGCTTTTTATAGATATAATAAACGTAAACGATCGTTCCTGATCCTAATATTTACATTTTATTTATTTTAAACGAAAGTGTTAGGACCAGAAACATATATTTCGTCACTTATACATACGGATCAATTCTTGTAATTGAGATATTACAATTAAGATAAACATTTTTATTATCACTTTAGATGAAGAATAATCGAAAAATCATTATTTTTAACTTTTTTTTTTAGAAATAAAAATATGTTTATGCGCTAATATTTATCATCATACATCCCAGGTCATCGTCGAGAAAGAAATGAAAGCTTTGCAACAATTTATTGTAGTCATTTTTACAGAAAACACGTTTTTTTTAGGATACAGAATATAAAATCACATCATTTTTTGAGAAAACTTGAGGTAAATCTCAAGTTTTTCCCTAATAAACATCTACTTAATTAATAAGGACTTAAAGTTTATTAAACAAGGACGTTTTTCTAAAAATGGTGTATCTGTAGTATTGTTGGAGGATCATATAAAAAATATAGCGAATAATTTATGATTTATTTTTAAACATTAGCTTAGTTTAGACGCTTAAAAGTCCTCCTTATATCGTTTTAACAAGGACACATTCTATTTTCGCTTGAAGCAAATTTGATCTAGTTTACAGTGAAGCACAGGCGGATTTTTATTTGGGGGGAAGGGTATTTCGGCTGAAGCCCCCCCTTCCCTCCCCAAAATGCTAAAATATAACCATGTTTTACAGAAAAAAATATTAAAAACTATCTCTTAAAGTATTCTTGTTCGTTTAATTAGATTTAATAGGATTTCAAGAACCACTTAAACACCATTTCATATAGGTAGTTAATTTCTTTCTTTTTTTTCAAATTAATTATATCGTTATATATATATATATACGAAAAAAAATCGTTCGGGGTGAAGCCTCTCCCAAAATTAAATCCTGGATCCGCTAGTGCAGTGAAGCAATTGCTAATTACTTACTTATACTCTTAATTTAAAAAACACAAAACTTAAATTTACTACTTTTCTGCCAGAAACAGACCAATGTTTATCTAATTTTTTTTTTTTTAGCTCTGCTATCACTTGTATAAATATTTTCCCTACTTACGGGACACCCTGTGTGCACAATTATGAGTACGATCAATAACCGGTATTTTGGTTATACTATAACCGGTTATTCCATGACAAATATCAAATAATATATATTTTTTTAAGCTTATTTATTGAAAAATATTACGATCTGTCTCTAGGACATTTATAATAGAGTTCACAGATCACATTCACACTATGTACAATAAATAAAATAAATTATACAGAAAAATAATATATATACAATAAATAAGAATAAAATAACCTAAAAATAAATAAATAAAAAGAACACATACACACCTATATACAATATTTACAATTTGGCGAGAGAATTCCAAACCAGACTTGTCCCTCCAACTGTGGAAGGAAAAGTATGACTCCAGGAGTCCCCTGCACTCCTCTCTCAACCGCGTCACTAGGGCTAAACCCAGTGGAGATTGAGCAAGAGTGCTTTAGCCACATACACTCATGTCGTGAGTGGAGAATCTGGCCATTGCCAGAACTCCAATAGAAATAATATTATAACAAATATCTTGAAGTTTAAGCCATTGAAACTATAAAAATATATCTCTTTAGAAACGATCACTTACCAGGAATTCAGCATGCTCTTCATCCCTGGGGCACTCTGCAGAAGGAGAATTTCTCGGGTTTTTGTACACTTTTGCGTCATCTTCCGAACTGTAGTCTTCGTCTTGTCCGGCCGACCACTCTAACATGTAATCAGTCATTTTATATTCTATATAAAACTATTCCTTATGTATTATAACCTAGAGAAATTCTTACTTGCATCTATACATTTTTGTGTATTTATGGTTAACACGTTGACTGCCTCATAACGAGGTACTCGTTTATGTTTATGTACCATATTTTTCAGCTTCGATGATATTCGTTGTCTTTTTTTTATGATCACTATTTATTAAATTATAGTTGTTAATGATATTATACGACTAAATTAAATTGTATTTTATACCAGAATCCTGAAAACTACCATGGGCAGTAAACGTGTTAAAAATTGAATAATTGTTTCTCTAAAATGAATATACAAGCATTTAAATGTGGTAAATTTATCTCCCTTACAATTAAACGAGCAAATTAACAATCTTTTAATAGTGAAAAAAAGGGTTAACAAGTTAAGTTACAATATAATGAATATTACAGAGACACATAACTTTGTCAGTTGTAATTTAAAATTACTTCTTATAAAGTTGAGTGATATCTTCACCAAGAATATACTGCTCAAAAATGAATAGAGATATTGTTAGTTATGTATGATTTAATTATTCTAGAATTTGTATTATAAAATAAATTGAAAATTAATACAAATCAGATTGTATTTGACTTCGGAAAATTTTATGAAAGGTGTTTTAAAAAAATAACAAAAAGTTAATATGATCTTGTTTTTATTATTGCGAATTGTAAAAATTTAATAATATGTGTAATATTTTCTGTTAGGCACTATCTGTCTACACCTATTGAGCACATTTTTTATAATGATGCCACTGACTTCACAAGGAATTTCAAATCATAAACAAGGTAATTCTCCGCCTTCTCCGCAGTGCATCCCACATGTGTTCAATAGGACCGAGATGTTGGGGCAAGACGGGAATGGGCAGATGTGAAGTGTCCAGATTATCAAGACATTGATGAACAACTTTTCCCCCATGGGGTCGTGTATTGTCGCCAGGAAATAGGAAATCTGTGCCTATTATGGCCCTGGTTTGAGGAATGAACTCCTTTATAATTTCTTGAACATAACAAAGTGCAATGAGATTATCTTTCACAATATGGAGTAGAGTCCGTCCTCCTGAGTAGATTGCACCTCTAGACTGCATTGAAGGAAGCACAAACTGTGGCTGTGTACCCATCCCCTGTTCTCGGTAGACTCTTCGGCGCCTAAGATCACTATACATACGGAAAAGTGACTTATCTTTAAATATAACAGCGTTCCAATTTGTATCCTCATCTAGGCGCTACAACATGATCTGTGGAGTTGCCGGTGATGAATTGTTGCTGCAGATCGTCTTAAAGGGGCATAAAATGTTAGACCTACTTCCCACAAACGGTTAAGAATGGTTTGTGTGAGCCTTGGCAGAACATTCAACACTTCATTTAGGCTCTGTCGGGCACTATGAAAAGGGTTGCTTCTTTCAGTACTACCCATATTTTTTGTCATCCATTGGTGCCATAATGCGCTGAGATCCACTAACAGGTTTCCTATTGGTACTTCCGGTTTTTCTACATCGACGATATCCAATTGCCGGTGCCTTTGACCGCTCATTCTTACGATAATATTGTAAAATTTTGGTTCAATCTGATGTCTTTCCTCCGTTAAACAGGCTATTACTGGATTAAAATGAAGAAAAGTTGAAAACAACAGTTGGTATTCTTCATGTTGAGTATCTTTTAGTTAATAATTTATTAAAAATAAATAATAATTGTTGTTTACTTTTTATGTTTACCAACAATTAAGAGAATCTCTAATAAATATAAAAATGGAGTAATTTAATAAAAAGGAATAGCAAACTATATTGAAATACCTCTATTAATTTTTGAGCAGTATATATTGAATATAGTTACAAATGGAATGATAGGAAATGATTTTCAGGTAAATAATGGAACTATTTATACCTAGGAATTGGATCGTGGAATACCATGTATGTGGATAATTAAGGTTTGGACAATTAATTGTAAAATGGTTAGATACCTTCCTTTCGGGGAAAAAGGGATGTTAAAACTAAGGATTTTGACAAGGCGGTGGAATATTTTTTGAAGTTTATCAAATATATGAATGCAGAATCGCCAGGCCCCCAATAATTCGTCGATAAATACTAAAAAATCAGAGAAAAATAATTAAACTATTTTGGCTTTAAGGCGATGGAATAGCGTCATATCCGCAAACAGGCAAAAAATGAAGTTGAAAATATCAATAAGTAATTGGTGTTTTATAAATCTTGCTCAATACAATCATAGAAAAATGGTGGTAAAATGGTAAAATACTACACTTAACGCACAGACCTAACCAAAAAAATTGAGGGGGATAAATTATTACTGCATTTTGAGGGGATCAATAAAATTGCTTGGAAGAGGGGTATAGACAATCTTCCTTGAGGGGAATGAGAATTCCTGTTAACAAAGAAATTGCGGAGATGTATGATTTATGTGCCACACCAACTTCGTTACTGTCTCAATTCATAGAGGTAAAGAAGATGTAAAAAATACATATTCGTGGAATCCTACAACCATTTATTCGATTGTGTGTTAAATTATAAAGAAGGTTTTGGACCTTGAACTGAGAATTTTTGCTGGTCACCTTCAGCAAAAATCAAAGAGGTTTTACCAGGGTACTTTCAGAGGAATGCTTCAGTGCAAGAACCATAAAGGTTAAGCATAAAATATTCGAACTCTAAGAAAAACATAGAGCGGTTTTTGTTTCAGCCCCTCGCCTTCTCGTAGATCTACAGGTACTACCGAAAATGCATTTGGAATAAAGGAGAGTTTCAATCCAAGATTTTCTTCCTTGGGTCAAAAAATTAACTTAAAATTTGAGATGCATTTTCTCGAGAGTAATTTCCTTATGAATTGATGACAAAACTGGACGACAATTTTGATAACTAACATGAATTTATGACCACTAATTTATGAACAAGTCTCTATACAATATTCATCACAAAGCTACATTTCATTTTGCTAATAGGAATAGATATAAGGATTCGTATGAGAATCGATAATGGCAGGAGCTAAGTAGGGGCAAAGGAGATACTTGCCCCGCAGGGAAGAATTTAAAAATGGCAAATTCCGAAAGAAATTTCTAGATTAAATGAAAAATATATGTTTCTGCTTTTTGATTGTTTTGACCATAATTCAGCCAATAAAGTTAGTTAATGCTGTGATTTGTTGATATTTCTATTGAAATATATTACCTAAAATGCGGTTTCTACTGAACAATTTATCTCATTTTATAAAGAATTTTACGCTGGAAAGGGCCCTATCTCTGAATTTATATCCTCTAACTCCGTTTTAGAATTAGATAATCATATAACTTTGGATGAACTTCAGAAAGCAATTAGAAAAACTAAATTGAAAAAAATCATCTGGCACAGATCAATTGCCGTATGAAGTTTATAAACTTATGCCTCCGAATTCTGAGCACTACCTCCTTAACCTTTTTAACGATGTTTTTCAAAATACTATTCTTCCGGAAAAATGATGTGAAATCCTCCTACTCCATTTATATAAAAAAATGTGATGCTAAACAGGGGAATAGCACATACAAACTGTTAAACTGTTTACAAATATTCTAGCTATAAAATATATTACTCATTAGAATATATAGATAGAATTACTCAATGGGCAGAAAAATCATAACTTGAGTACAGAAGAATAAAATGATTTTAGGGCGGGTAAATTCAGTAACATAATATTTCAATGGGCTCCAAAAGCAACAAGGTCTTGGCGACATTTGTTGACTTTAAGCGGGCATTTGATTCATGGGATTATAAAAAATTATGGCAAAGTCTTCATAGTCTCTGATTGTATTCTAAAATAATAAATATTTTACGAGAATTATACAAACAAGCTACTATAATTTTAAAGAATGAACTTAATATGAAATCAGTTAAAATCAGTCAAGGGGTATTACAGGGAGACTCCCTTAGTCCTCTAATATTTCCATTATTCATTTCAGATGTAATGTATCATTTTAAAAATTATGGATGTAATGGAATAAATATTAACCATAGAAGAGAAATATCCGGACTGATATATGCGGATGATTTAGTTTTAATTGATAATGTTTGGGTCGGAACAAATAAGAAATTAATTTCCCTGCACAAGTATTGTCAATTAAATTTGTTAATTGTTAATTTTGAAAACACAAAATGTGTGATTTTCAAAAAATGTGGTAATATGAGTAAATTTAAACCTCTCTTCTATAACAAATTTAGAATTGATATAATTAAACAGTATAATAATTATTTATGAGTGGTATTTTCATCATCGGGTTTCTTTTCTCAGGCACCAGATAATTTCGTCAAAAATCAAAGTTGGCGTCATACAGAGTTCGAGAAATCTTTTTGAGGTCAAGATCAGATTCTCTCGATACCAAATTTAAATTATTAATTCCATTGTGAATTCCGTTCTTTTGTACTCAGCGGAGATTCGGGCTCCATTACTGTCACAAATTAGAGCGCGTTTGATTTGAGTTATTTTAAAGCAATATATCATTGGCCAATACCCCTAATCATTATGTGCGTGTAGAAACGTGTCTAGAATCATTAGAAATAAGCGTTCTTAAAAGAACGATTCGTTGGTACCGAAAAGGAGACCTAATGGAAGATAACCGATTACCAAAACTTTGTTTACAAATTTTAAAAAAACATTTTAACTATTTAATTAATACAAAGTATAATTGGTATTCAAAATTGACAAATATCTTGAGAGCCATAGACTCGGTTGAATTATTAAACTTTTTTTATTTTTTTTTATTGAATATTAATACATTCTGCCACATTAAAGGGCATTAATATTTAGGCTACAAGAATCATTCACACAATATGTACATACAAATAATAACTGAGAATAATAGAAATATAGAAAAATAAAATAAATAAACAAATAATAGTAATAATAATATAAAAATAACATCTTAGAGGCAGGCATACCTATTTACACTATTTACAATCGGTCATGGGAACTCCGAACTAGACTTGT